ATGGTTTTTGATTAATTTTAGCTTGCTGAAACATCGTTCATTTGAAGCTATGGTAACTGGTGATGTTAATGCTAAACGACAAAGTTCATTAGCCATAGGAATTATGGTCTTTAATTTGTTGGCTACATCCATGACGTTAGCCAATGATTTAGCATTTTCAGTTTGTAGCCTTAATATATTTATCTCACATAATGCGCTATTGAAATCTGTTGCATTTGACATGTCACAGTTTTTTGGAAACAAGAAAAATGCTTTTTCTACATCTTTTATAGTTATATTTGAACTTATAGGCACCAATAATACTTTAAAAAGTGGCTGAATACAAACCAGACAAGATTTCAAATTTTCTTCCACATGACAAACATTCGACCTTAGTGCGTTTGCGTTTTGTTTTATTATTGTCACACATATTTAAAAACGAGCCAGGACATTTCGCCGCGACCGTTTCGCCGCTGTACCATTTCGCCGCGACCGTTTCGCCGCTGTACCATTTCGCCGCGACCGTTTCGCCGCGAAGGGTTAACCTCCCCACGAAATATCAACAATACCAATGATGTACCTACCTATCATATAGCCATATAGGTATAACAAATAACAATASGTATTAGGTACAAAGATTATACAATTTTTTCAAACCGCATCACCCGAATATTTCATGCATTTATCCCCGATTATCACATTTTTGATTTTGAAACATATGTTTCAATATGTTGATATGTTTCTCAATTCAAATCAGTTACATTTTATCACTCCTCCAACTGGAATTCGCAGCTTTAATTTCCGTTTGTGCATAAATGCGCAGCTCATAGGCATGCTCACAGGGTGGATGACACGGTCCGCAACGGCAACCGGTACAAAGTAGTAAGTACAGGTGCCGCAGCGACCTGTCTACGCTCTTGTCAACCGCCACCACGGGATACGACCGCGCGACAGTCGACTCTCCCGCCACGCCTCAACGGCACAAGGCGGGACGGGAAGCAAAGTCGCGCCGGACGCGTACCGACCGCCGTCCGCCGCCGGCCTTCTCTCTCGATCAACGACCTCCGTGCG